CAAATAAACAAAATCAGAAATGAAGGTGGAGAAATAAACTGAACAACCTAGAAGAAATGGATGAATTCGTAGAAACGAATAACGTACCAAACTGAATCAGGAAGAAATAGAAAATTTGAACAGACTGATAACCAGAAACAAAATTGAATCTGTAATAAAAAAAACCTCCCAACAAACAAAAGTCCAGAACCAGATGGCTTCACAGATGAATTCTAACAAATATTTAAAGAACAGTGAATACATAGTCTCAAACTATTCCACAAAATAGAAGAGGAAGGAAAGCTTCCAAATTCATTCTGTGAGGACAACAATACCCTGAAACCAAAAGCAGATAAAGACACTACAACAAAAAGAGAAAACAGGCCAATATCTCTGAAGAACATAGATGAAAAAGTCCTCAATAAAAATATTAACAAACTAGATCCAACAATACATTTAAAAAATTATTCACCACAATCAAGCGAGATTATCCCCAGTATGCAAGGGTGATTTAGTATTCACAAATCAATCAACATGATACATCACATTAATAAGAGAAAGGATAAAAACCATATGATAATTTCAATAGATGCAAAAAAAGCATTTGATAAAGTACAATGTCTATTCATGTGAAAACCCTATACCAAGTAGTTTTAGAGAGACTATACCTCACCATAATAAAGGCCACACATGAAAAATCCACAGGTAACATCATGCTCAATGGTGAAAAACTGAATTTTTCCCCTAAGCTCAGGAACAAGACAAGGATGGCCACTCTCACCACTTTTATTCAACATAGTGCTGGAAATCCTAGCTGCAGCAATCAGACAAGAAAAAGAAATAAAACCATCCAAATTGGTAAGAAAGAAGTTACGGTCATTCCTTGCAGATGACAAGATACTATATATAGAGAATCCTAAAGACTCCACCAAAACACTACTAGAACTGATAAGTGAATTCAGTAAGGTTGCAGGATACAAAAATCAATTTACAGAAATTCACTGCATTTCTACACAATAATAATGAGGCAGCAGAAAGAGAAATTAAGAAAACAATCCCATTTACAATTGCACCAGAAATAGTAAAATAACAAGGAATAAACTTAACCAAGGAGATGAAAGGCCTGTTCTCTGAACACTGTACAACATTGATGAAATAAATTGAAGACAACACAAACAAATGGAAAGATGTTCCATGCTCATGGACTGGAAGAACAAATATTGTTAAAATGCCCATATTACCCAAAGCAATGTAAAGATTTAATGCAATCTCTATCAAAATGCCAACAGCATTTTTTTTTTCACAGAACTAGAACAAACAATTCTAAAATTGGTATGGAACCACAAAAGACCCTGATTAGCCAAAGCAATCTTGAAAAAGCAAAACAAAAGCGGAGGTATCACAATTCCAGATTTCAAGTTATACCACAAATCTGCAGTACTCAAAACAGTATGGTACTGGCACAAAAATCGACATACAGATCAATAGAACAGAATAGAGAGCCCAGAAATAAACCCATGATTATATGGACAGTTAATCTTTGACAAAGGAGGGAGGAATATCCAAAAGGGAAAAGACAGTTTCTTCAACAAATGGTGCTGAGAAAGCTGGACAGGTTACATGAATGAATGAATGGCCCCTGGAAGAATGAATGCATTTTTCTTCATGTATTTTTTAGTTCCTCCAGAATGAAGCTGGACATTATCTTACACCATACACAAAAATAACTTCAAAATGGATCCAGGACCTAAATGTGAGACCTGAAGCCATAAAAATCCTAGAAGAGAGCACTGACATCATTTCTCTGACATCAGCCATATCAACATTTTTCTAGATATGTTTCCTAGGCAAGAGAAATAAAAACAAAAATAAACCGTTGGGACTACATCAAAATAAAAGGCTTCTGCACAGCAAAAGAAACAATCAACAAAACTAAAAGCCAACATACTGAATGGGAGAAGATATTTGCAAGTTATATGTGTAATAAAGTGTTAGTATCCAAAATGTATATATAAACTTCTACAACTCACTACCAAAAAACAAATAATCTAATTAAAAATGGGCAAAAGACCTGAATAGACATTTCTCCAAAGAAGACATCCAGATAGCCAACAGACACATGAAAAGATGCTCAATGTCACTCATCATCAGGGAAATGCAAATTAAACCACAATAAGATATCACCTCACACCTGTCAAGATAGCTAAAATCAAAAACACAAGAACCAACAAGTGTTGATCCTCAATCCTTTCTTTGGAGAAAAAGGAACCTTCGTGCCCTGTTGATGGGAATGCAAACTGGTGTAGCCACTGTGGAGGCTTCCTCTAAAAATTAAAAATAGAATTACCCTAATGATCCCATAATTTCACTACTGGATATTTACCAAAGAATACAAAAACACTAATCAAAAAGATGTATGCACCCCTGTGTTTATTACAGCGTTATTTACAATAGCTGAATTCTGTAAGCAGCCCAGCTGTGTAACAATAGATGAAGGGATAAAGAAGTGGTATATACACAACGAACTATTACTCACCATAAAAAAGAATGAAATCTTGTCATTTACAACTACATGGACAGATCTGTAGGGTATAATCATATTTCACTTAGGCTAAGTGAAATAAGTCAGAGAAAGACAAATGCCACATGATGACAATCATATATGGAATTTAAGAAACAAAACAAATGAACAAGTTAAAAAAAAGACAAACTAAAACACAGACTCTTAACTATAGAGAGCAAACTGATGGTTACCAGTTGGGAGGTGGGCGGGGGAATGGGTGAAATAGGCGAAGGGGACTAAGAGTACACTTATTTTGACAAGTACTGTGCGACGTATAGAATTGTGGAATCACTGTATCATATACCTGAAACTATATGACACTATATGTTAACTACACAGTAGTGAAAATAAAAAAATATAATAATATAAAACCATACTTTTTAAAATTTTTTTTTTTTATTTCCAATGTTTATTTATTTTTGGGACAGAGAGAGACAGAGCATGAACGGGGGAGGGGCAGAGAGAGAGGGAGACACAGAATCGGAAACAGGCTCCAGGCTCCGAGCCATCAGCCCAGAGCCCGACGCGGGGCTCGAACTCACGGACCGCGAGATCGTGACCTGGCTGAAGTCGGACGCTTAACCGACTGCGCCACCCAGGCGCCCCAAAACCATACTTTTTAAAAAGCCAAGAAGAGATCTAGGATATGGGTTTATGATAAAATGGTATGTGAAATTCCTGTTAAGCTTAATTCATACATGTACAACTATGAATATCAAATAATTAACATTTCAGTCTTAAAAATTATTCTGCAGATTGAAAAACAATATAATTTATGGAGTAGGTGGTTATGAAATAAAAAGTATGTGTTTAAAAGATTTGCTTCTAATTCACTCAGAGAATTCTTTTCTTTCCTTAAGTTAAAAAAAAAAAATATCTGATACAGATGATTTGCTGAAAAGTAGCCATACCAAGGAGATATAGAAGCATTGTCTGTAATAGGTAATGTAAAAATCTTTTTAGGCTTAAGGTTATAATGTTTTTAGAAGCAACTAAAGGAAAAAAGCAAAGGCAGTGTGTATGTAGGAGGAAAGGGGGGATTTAGCCTTAACCCAGAGAAAATTGGCAGATTCTACAGACATTGTTCAGAAGTACATGTGTGAATATCGTTGTCTTAATATCAGAACAGTCATTTCAGGCAGAGTCATTGGGAAATATTTATGGCCAGATTTGATAGTTTTACTCCTTTTGGACTTCAAACAGAAAGACTATGAATTATCAGTGAAGTCCCAAAGAATCATTTGGCTTTAAAATTACTATTAAATGTAAGTTTCTTAAAAGCATATCTCCAGTTTTCTCCCAAAAAGAATGAGATCACACTTTTCCCTTAGATATCCATCATAAATATGAGAATGCATGGAAATTGTGGAAAATAGCTGGCTATCTTTTGGATATTCGACCACCCCAAATACAATCATATTTCAAGACTTTTAATAGTGACTTTATTTGGGAGATATTAGCCGAAGTTCTTACCCTATCATTGTTGCCAGCCTTGGATTCCTTTTTTTTGTTTTTTTGTTTTGCTAAAATTCTGGATCTCGCGGGACCTCACTGCCTCCTGTTGTCATAATTTTATGCTCTCTGTATACATTTTACCATAAAAAAATAAATGGCTCAAAAACTATGCAATTCCTTCCTTTTTTTTTTTTATTTTTACATTTTATTTATTTTTGAGAGAGAGACAGAGCACAAGTGGAAGAGAGGCAGAGAGAGAGGGAGGCACAGAATCTGAAGCAGGCTCCAGGCTCTGAGCTGTCAGCACAGAGCCCGATGTGGGGCTCAGACTCACAAACCGTGAGATCATGACCTGAGCTGAAGTTGGACGCATAACCACCTGAGCCACCCAGGCACCCCTTTCCTTCCTTTAACATAAGTGATAGATTTCCTAATCTATTTATTAAGTATCTAGATTTAATCTGTATTTTGTGAGACTACAAAAAGTCTTAATAGAATGCCAAAGGAGACCTTGTTTGTAATGCCAGATACTGTAATAGCAAAACCACATGACCTTAGAGAATGCATTCGTGCTCTTTGCGCCTCAGTTTCCCCACCCATATGAGGTTATATTTGGCTAGATGATCTCCAAGTTAGATGATGTTTCTTCTATCTGCAGTGTTCCAGATTAAAATTTTAATCCATAAGTTTTGCCTACAGGTATCTTTACTCAGATATTTTTATCATTTGGAGGTAGAGGCAGTATGTACTGTGAAGGCAGCAGGAAGACAGATAATAATATGTAGTGATCTTTGGTTCTTCTGTCAGAATGGAAGGCTCTACCCAGCCATAACCAACTTTACCTGCAGTTCTAGTAGCAGGTGGGAAAATTCATCTTCAAAAACGCAAGCAATTCCATTATTGTTTTCAAGGGAGTATGTGTTTTTCAGATGTTCTGTGTCTGCTCAGAGAGGGCCTGCCTCTTGCATTCATTCAGCTAATGCATCCATTTGTTTGGACACAGGTCAGGTGATCACTGCCAGTATTGCAGATATCATTGCGAATTACTCGTTCAAGGATATCCTAAGGAAATTGGCTCGAGAGAAACAGACAGACGTGGCTCCAGCTTCCTATGATGACAGTTACCTTGGTGAGATTCATTATTTAGCACATTTGTTGTTTCTCAAAAGGCAAACTTATTAAATGTAGGTGCAAACTTTATTCCTCACTTATCCGCTGTTCTTCGGCAGCTTGTGCAAATTTTCTTTTCTTACTAGCTTAGAATGGACTTTCCTTTTATTCAGCCATGGCATATAAGTCTTCTCTTTTGGTTCAGCCTATTTTATAGGCTCTGTAACAGACTTTCGCTTCAAATTCAGCAACCATTTTTTATTTTAAAAATTTCAATAAGTTACTCTAGAAGGATATGACTTTCACACAATAAAACATTGGCCTCAGCCCCAAAGTCAATTTCTTATTTAATGGGGGGAATTTCGATGGTTACTTTCTATGTTTTGATTTAGGCTGTAGTGTCCAGTTATGCAATCAAACACTAACTGTAAAAGTGTCTTGCACATAAAATATTTTGCCAGTTGTAGAGACTATGAATTAGTGGGGCTGCCCAGTGCTATAGGGGCAACATGTTGGCCGTCCTTTCCAGCTTTTAGAGCAACAACAAAAGACCTTCCAGTTGCTAGAATGTTGTCAAAACGTATTATGCGGAAACCATACAATGTCAATGTGCCACGGTTGTTTCCCACCTTTAGTATCCTATAGGCATTTTGATTGCTTGATAAATGAAGCAAAATGCAGTTATGTTTTTCACCTCACCTCACTTTAGAGCTAAGTGACATTTGTGGAAAACCATCATTAAAGAAATTAGGAAATATACCTTCTTGGCGATCAGAAATAGCAAATGTTGAGCACAAAAGATACTTTCCGAGTATCATGTCTGATCCTGATGAATCAGCGACCTTCAGGTACAATGGCCACCATTTACTCTTTAAGGGGGATGATGAAGTATTCCTCACAATCTGATTGTGTTGCCATGTTCAGAAGAAGCGGATCGATTATGCTTCCAGGATTTAGTACGGAAGCGTTCATTTCACTGTTTTTTCCCATTACAGAACCCTAAACTTTTATGTGACGATATTTGTTGAAATTTCTGACCAAAGCAGTACTATGGCAGTTCTTTCATTTTTCTAGATAAAGCTCATTTGTAAAGCCTTCAAACATGTGACTAGTTTTCCTTTTCTTTAACCCAGGATATTCAGTTGCTGCTGGGGAATTCACTGGAGACTCTGAGCAAGGTGAGAGACATTATTGGATTTAAGTCATTTATAAAGCACGGGGAAAGGTAAAAGGACCTGAAAAGCCCTGTTATAAATGTGATTTTCTTTGCTACACAAATGTATAATAATGGAATCCCAGAATGTGTATGATAATATTATGTAGAAAAACAAACCAAAATACACTTCAGCACAGCATTTTAAGTCTTAAATAACTTCGTAATACTGAATGTCAATCGTTATAAAATCGAGTTAAGCAATAAAAAAAAGTCCAATAATCCCATATTATGCATGAGAAAAATACAGGTGATTAAATGGCCCACATATGGGCGCCTGGGTGGTTCAGTCAGTTAAGTGTCCAACTCTTTGATTTTGGCTCAGGTCATGATCTCACAGTTTGTGAGTCTGAGCCCCACATTGGGCTCTGGGCTGACAGTGGGGAGTCTGCTTGGTATTGTCTCCCTCTCTCTCTGCCCCTCCCCCATTTGCTCTCTATAGCTCTCTCAAAATAAATTAAAAAAAAAAAAACTTAAAAAAATGGCCTACACAAAAGCCATGCTATTAGTGACAGATCACATTTGAAAAGTCAAGATCCCCCATCTTTAATTTCTGGACATTCACATTGGACGTGTCCCTACTGAACTCCCTCCCGGGCTCCAACCCAACACCTCTACATTATTTCCTTTTTCCCTTTGGACATGCTCAAGCTCAAAATAACAGAATGAATTAACTCCTGTTCTCATATATGCCCCTCACCTCTGTCCTCTATACCTTATAATGGCTGCCATCTCTGGTTTCCGTCCCCTGAATCTGTAGCTACTCTAATTTCGACAGGTCAAATGCTACTTTTTTTTTTTTAGTACAATTTCAAATGTCATCTCCTTCTTTCACTTCCTTCTGTAAACTCCTGTAAGATCTCATTTTTCTCCCTCCTAAGGAATTTACCATTCATTCATTCTTCCAGTTTTTCTTGAGCACCTGCTGTGTGCCAGGCTATGTGTTAAATGTTGAACACACAGAGGCGAACAGATGGTCCTCAATCTCAGAGTTTATAGTCCCAGTGGGGCTGACAGGCATTAAACAGCGAGCACAAAATACCTGATAAACAATTGTAGTAAGTGGGAGGATAAAGTTCTAAACATAAAACTAATCTAAGCCCCATGACCTCATCACCTCCCAGGGGCCCTGTCTCCTGAGACTATCACATTAAGGGTTAGGTTTCAACATACGAATTTTGGGGGTACACAAACATTCAGTCCCTGGCAATACCTATCATATACAAGACTGGTAATATTTATTGAATGAATGAATCATCAATCAATCAGTATTTCCATCTTGTTTCATATGAACCTTAACTGCTTTTCACTAGTGTGTTTTAACGAATTCACAAAGAATTAAGAGTAAATGAAATGTGGGCCATCCCTGGAAATCATCAGAGCTTATTGTATTGTATTGTATTGTATTGTATTGTATTGTAGAGAGAGAACGATCAGGGAGGAAGGGCAGAGGGAGAGAGAGAGAGAGAGAGAGAGAAAGAGAATCCTAAGCAGGCTGCAAGCTCAGCATGGAGCCCGATGTAGGGCTTGATCCCATGACCCTGGGATCTTGACCTGAGCTGAAATCGAGTCAGACGCTCAACCAACTGAGCCACCCAGGCGCCCCAGAGCTCTTTTAACTGTTTCATCTCAAAAAGAATTACAAAGCAGAAATTCACAGAGAATAAAACATTCTTTATGCAGTGAGGTAGGGATTGAACACAGAGGTTTTGTGGGTTTTTTTTTTCTTTAAAAGAATATTTTGCTTTTAAATACAAGATAGTTCTTTTTTTTTTTAATTTTTTTAAACCTTTATTCAGTTTTGAGAGACAGAGCACGAGTGGACGAAGGGCGGAGAGGGAGACACAGGATCTGAAGCAGGCTCCAGGCTCTGAGCTGTCAGCACAGAGCCCAACATGGCATTCAAACTCATGAGCCATGAGATCATGACCTGAGCCAAAGTTGGATGCTTAACCAACTGAGTCACCCAGGCACCCCTAAATACAAGCTAATTCTTAAAGGCTCTCTCTTTCCATACATTTTTTTCTTCAAGATTTTAAAAGACAATCTGTTGTGGTAGTTAAAAGCATAGACTTTGGAGCTAGACCACTTGGGTTTCAACCCTGACTTTGCCATCTACCAGGTCTGTGACCTAGTTACCTAACATCTCAGTGCCTCCATTTCTTTATTTCTAAAAGAGAGATAGTGGTGATGGTAATGATGATGATGTTGGTGATGATGATGATGGTAATAATGCTGAGGAGGAGGATGATGGTGTTGATGATGATAACAATGAAGATGATAGTACCATCTAGATCATAGGATTCTTAGGATTAAGTGAGCTAATCCTACATTCATAAAACAGTATAATACTGATACGTAACAAATACTATTTAAATATTAGCTATAATGAGAAAGAATTCTTGGGATAGAGTCCATCAGAGATAAAATTAAATTCCTAGTACCTTAGAAAAGTCAAATCTTCTAATCACTCAGTGATTTAGCAAAGGAAATTGTAAAATATGCCAAATGATTTTAAACATGGCATTAAACTCCTGTTGGAAAGTTCCCCAGGAGAAAATTCAGTCCTGACCCAAGAAAATTATTAGGGGTGCATGACAGCACATCACAGGGAAGCATGGTAGGAAATCATAGTGGTTTTCCATTAGAGCAGAGAAATATCTAGAAGATGGATCCAAGTTTTAAATGATATGTAAAGTAAAGGCACTATCAGGGAGTGATCCATTCGTCAGAATGGATCCATTCATCAGACCACACCAAGTCCAAGACTGCCCATGTTCACTACTTACGTAAGCAGACTGGAAAGAGTTGAAGTTCTTTGAAACCTAGTGAGTGACCTGATGTACTATAGATTAGAAGCCCTTAACGTGGGATCCTTGTATTCCGGGTGGTACAGGGACGGATGGACTTCACAGGGTTTGAACCCCTAGAAATTATATGCAAGGTTTTATATGTATATGAATTTTTCCAATGAGAAGATCCATAACTTTCATCTATTTCCCAAGTGTGTTCATGACTCAAAAAAGGTTAAGATCTTTGGTTCTTGTTTTAGAGTCCAACGTGGTGAGCTAAAACCAAAAAAGTGATATGGCCCTAACCAATCCTAGGAAAGTCATTTGGTGTGGTAGAAAAAACGTTGACGTGGCTCTCAGTTCTTGAGTCTTACTGCTCACCAACTATGTACAGTGACTGAACCTTTCTAAGCCTTATTTTCTCCACACGTCCATAGGGGTATGAATGCCTACTTTTTAGAGGTTAAATTATGGAAATATTATAAAGCTTGTGGCACATTGTCTTAGTGGGTGGAAAACATTCGATAAACACTAGCTTCCTTTTTGCTTCTTGCTGGTGGGGTTGATGCCCAGGTCATGTATTTCAAGGCCAGGGATATTAAGAGATCTTTGCAGGTTTTCCTATGAGTTATTGAAATGGATCTGAGAAAAGTCACTTATTTTCTCTCCCAACTGAATTTTTGTAGTTGAGTGATAGTTCCAACTTGTCTTAAAACTCCAAACCATTCTATTTATGTATGTATGTATGTATGTATGTATGTATTTATTTATTTATTTATTTATTTTTAGCGTTTACTTATTATTGAGAGGCAGAGAGAAAGAGAGAGAGAGCATGAGCAGGGGAGGGGCAGAGAGAGAGGGAGACACAGAATCCGAAGCAGGCTCCAGGCTCTGAGCTGTCAGCACAGAGCCTGATGCAGGGCTCGAACTCACAACCCATGAGATCATGACCCGAGCCAAAGTCGGACACTTAACCAACCAAGCCACCCAGGCGCCCCCAACATGACTTTTAATAACTTCTAAGTGCTGTGACTACGTGGGGTGACAGACTCCAACGTTACTGAGTGTGATGGTTGATTTCTTTTAAATGAAATTCTGAAGGTTTGCGGAAGGCTTAGTAGTGGTTGTCATGCATCTCAAACGGGATAGTCCCTTCAGACTCCTCTGGTTGAGGATCCTGGCCCGATCCTGGAATCAGTCAACTCCATTATGTTTGATGGTGGTTTGTTGTTAGATGCCAATTTAATTCACGCCAAATAAATATTGTTGAAAACTGAGCAGCGTGCGACCGTTTCTGATAGCTTTCCTGGAAATCTGTCCAGATAGCTTAGTTATTCTGAACCCAGTTTTATTCTTCAAGGACATGCTTCACCTTCCCTCCCATTGCTATGGTTGAGCAGTCCATGCCCCTGGGTAAAGTTAACCTCTCCACTTTGCACCACACCCCATTGCCTCTCGTGACTCAGAGAAGGGACTCCAACCATTCCCACATCATGATTTTCTTTGGATCATTCCCACCACTGTACAAACATACTTCTCTGACCTTAAGAAGTAAATTTGTTACTCCACTCCCTCCTCCAGCAAGCACCTATTGACTCTGCTTCAAAAGAGCTGTCACTCTTCTCTGCTGTATCTCTGTCCGCTGTATCTACTGCCTTCTCGTCTTCAACTCACCACTCAGCTGAAATGGCTCCTGTCAAGCAAACCAGTGGCCTCTATGCACCTCCTCTTCCTTGATTATCATGAGCATTGAAAGAATTCATTATTCCCTCCTCATTTCTTCCCCTGGCTTCCCAGACACTTGTAGCTCCCTCTTCCCTCTCCCTCCCCCCTTCCCTCTCTGTTGTTGATTCCCCTTTATTTCTCTCATATCATTGAGGTGTCCCAGGGTTAAACACTTGGATTCTTTCTTTCCTCTTTGAGTTCTTGGTAACCTCATCCAGTCTCATTGTCTTTCCAGCTTCTACTGAGTTCCAGGTTCCAGGTATTTCTCCAGATGACGCTGAATTCCAGGTTCAGGGATATGTGTTCTAATATCTGGAACCTCAATTCAGTACTCAACATCTCTGTTTGAGTAGTTCTCTCAAACTTAATGTGCTCATGAGCGAACTTCTGACCTTCTCCCCAGAACACGGTCCACCATCCTCTCAATTGCTTGAGCCACATACCTTGGAAGTCAGCCTTGTACTGTGCTCTTTCTCTCACACCCCATCCATACCCAATTTATGAGTAAACCTGCTAACGAAACTCTCAAAATATGACCAGAATCTGACCATTTCTCACCTCCTGCACAGCTTGTACTCAGATTCAAGTCCCCCAACTTTATTGCAGTAGCCTCCTACCTGGTCTCTCTCTCTCTCTCCCCCCTTGCCCTCCTGTAGTCTGCTCTAAATTCAGCAACCAAAGCGGTCCTTTAGACACAGAAGTCAGATCACGTAACTTCTTTGATCTAGTGATTTTTCAACTCCTTCAGTCTGAAATCCAAGACTTTACAATGACCTGAAAGTCTCCATTCACAAGATTTTGACCTCATTTCCTACCCCTTTCCTCCTCACTCCCTCCCCTCCGGCCACCCTGGTCTCTTTACTATTCTTTGAATACTCCAGACACACTTCTACCTCAGGACCTTTGCAGTTGCCATACCTTCTGACTAGAACATACTTTTCCAATACCTCCATAATATTTACATCTCCACTTTCTTCATTTTTGGCTCCAATGTCTTTCTCTTGCCAAGTCCTCTCCTGCCAGTTGTGCCCTAATAAGGCCTAAGTCCTTTCTCATCCCACCTCCATTTCCCCCTGTACCATTTTACTGTTCGGTTTTTCTCCACTCACCGTACTCACCCCCTTCAAATATGCCATTTCATCAACTCTGTTTTTTAAATGGACTGTCTCTTCCAACCAGAGCATGAGCTCCGTGAGAGCAGGGCATTTTTGTCCAATGTGCTCACTATTTTTTACTCCATTTGCCTATAAATGTTTGTTGACTGAATGAGTGGATTGACGGCTGAAAAGTCCAACATCTATCCCCAAACGAACCTTCTTTGATTGGTCACGCTAACAGCATGAGCACCCAACTCTGCCAGAGCACAGCACATCCGATGTAGTCGAGGCCAGAACTCGTGCCAGACCTTCCACGGCCGGGGAGGGGAAGGGGAATTTAAATAGAAGGGGATTCTCTTCCAGGCCCTTCCTATTTAAATTAAACTCAAAGGTAACCCCGATGAATCAAAGGATAGTTTAGATTTGTAGAAACAAGAGCCGAAAGATCTTTGATAACCAGCCAGTCCCAACTCCCACACTACTGCGGGTGACCAGAAAAAGTGGGGGTAAATGATTCATCCCAGGCATATGGCAGACCCAAGAATAGAACCACTGTCTTCCGAATCTAGAGACGGATCACTATGCCCTGAATCATATGGACTTTCCTCCCCACAGTTGCCTCTTCTGTTTGTGTTACCGACGCTTCCTTTCTGGGGGACCCTAAGCTGCCAGGTCACCCGCTAATTTCTGCTGCCAACAAACACTTGCAAGGGGGCCAGACTCGTATCATTTATGATGGCTTTTCTTTAGGTAACCGAACTTGTTTTGCCATGTGAGGGTGACAGAAGCTGTACTTTTCACACTAGTACAAAAGATGTCACCACAGTGAAAGCCGGAGAAATCGGACTCAGAGGTTTAACTTACGAATCACATTGCAGAGCTGAGAAGTCAGGCTTCTGCTACGCAGGCAGAAACACATTGGAGACCGGTGGTGAAGGCTAGGAAATTTCACAGGACGACTTCTGTTCTGTTTTCCGTGGTCTGTAGCAGAAGCAAAATGCAAACCTGTGACCTCACACTTCTAGTTCCTCAAGTGATGGTTACTCACGTAAAAAGCACTCTCTTTAACTCATTTGTTGGGTGGCTTAAAAATATATGTAATTCCCCTTCTAAATGAATATTTTTATCCCCAGAGCTGGTTGCTGGAGTTCCAAGAGGAGCACAGAATTTTGGATATGTGAGTACTAAGAATGCATCGTACAATATTTTCTTCCACATGCAAAGAAATGTTCCCTTTCATTTGACTTTTTTTATGTTTATTTATTTTTGAGACAGAGAGAGACAGACAGAGCATGAGCAGAGGAAGGTAGGGAGAGAGAGGGAGACACAGAATCCGAAGCAGGCTCCAGGCTCCGAGCTATCAGCACAGAGCCTGACGCGGGGCTCGAAATCACAAGCTGTGAGATTATGACCTGAGCTGAAGTCGGACACCCAACCGACTGAGCCACCCAGGCGCCCCACTTCCATTCAACTTTTAAGTGGCTTACCATGTCTTTTAATCGTGAGCCCCTACAGATCCATGCTTGCTTGCTTGCTTACTAAAAAGGAAGAAAAACAAGTGAGGCTAGATTTTTTTTTTTTCCCTGATCTATGTACAGGATGTACTACATAGTTTGTGGGACCCAGTGCAAAATGATAATGCAGGGCCCTTTGTTCAAATTATTAAGAATTTCAGGAGAGCACCAGCTGGGCATTAAACCAAGGGTAGGGCCCATTGGAACATGGGGACCGGAGCACAGGTCCCCACCCATGAAGCCAGCATGATCCTTGTGCATCATCTAGGACAAACTGCAGAAGACACTGTCGCTGACAGGCTGAGCATTTTCATACGGCTCCTACGACAGAAATAAGAAATCGATCGCTATTGCACTAGTGTGTTAGTTTCCCAAGACTGACACAACAAAAGACCACAAACTGGGTGGCTTGCAACAACACGGATTTATTTTCTCACAGGTCAAGAGACCAGAGTCTGGAATCAAAGCGCCAGGCAGGGTCACACTTCCTGCAGTGCATCTAGCAGCTCTTTCTTACCTATTCTGGCTTGAGGTGGCCACTACCTGGTTCTGGTGTATGTCAGCACGATTTCAGTCTCCGCCCCTGGCCTCGTACGGCCATCCTCCAGTCGTGTCTGTGTGTCCTCCCCTTTTCTCAAGAGGACATCAGTCACTGCACATAGGGCCCACCCGAAATCTGGGATGACTTCATCTCAATTTCCTGAACCTGTTTCACCTACAAAGACCCTATTTCCAAATAAGGTCACCTTATGAAACTCTGGGTGTTGTGAATTTTGGAGGGACACTATTCAAACCCATTAGAGCTAGTTACCACAAAAGTAGGAAAAGAAAATCAAGACACCTTGTGAACAGAAAAGGTTATATTTTAAATAATGTTTATTATTTTAAAACTCTAGTAAATGTAATATCTGAATAGAATTAAAAGTACTATTTTTGCTATCTGGATAGCATTTTTAATTTTAACCTTTCTTTTTTTTTTTTTTTTTTTTTTTTTTTTTTTTTTTTGCAAAGAGCCATAATCATCAATTTTTCATAACATAAACACAAATGAATTTGGATAAAAATCATAATTAGGTGAATTAACTGGCCAGCAGGTTAATTGCTGTGAGCATTCAGTTGAATTCAATTTCTGTTTTCCCTTTTCAGATTAGTAAGCATGCATTTTATCTGAGAATGTCAGAGACTTAACCATAAATAAAAGTTCAGTTGGATTTTTTAAAGCTCATTCTTATGGGATTGCATTTTTGTTTTACATAGCATTAACTGTTTACCACTCTTCCCCCAAATTTAAAACTGATTTAAGTTATAATTTAAAATGTGGGTTTTTTCTCCAATTCTGTCAAATGATATAACCTATCTCATTTCTATGATTTCAGGTTTCAATCATTAACTCTACAGATATGACTTTTATTCAGAATTTCACTGGTGAACAGGTGAAGACCTTTTAATATCAAATAATGTCACTCGGTACTCATAGTAAATTGCAATGTTCATACCATTTATTCATTCATAAAACAAATGTTTACTGAGCACCTACTATGTGCTAGGAACTGTTGCAGGCCCTGGGAATATAACCATGCCTCTGACAGACAGGATCCCAGCTCTCCTGTTGTAATGTCGCTAACTGCTAGGATCTGAGAGCAATCCTGTTATGTTCTGGTCCTGTATGGAGTGTGCTTGGTGGTGAGTTCCAGGTATATGCATTCCCTCTGAGAAGACAAAGGTTTCTCCTAGGTCTCACTGTATCAGTCGGAATCAATGGGCTTGTACTCTGTCTCTCTTCCTCACTGTGACTGGAGCCTCCACCCAAAGCAACATTATGTGGGGGTTCACAAGCTACCTGGTTCTGGTCCTTTCCTTCCAGGGGCCAGATATCACTCCTCACCCACTGTTACTGGCCGAGGTCTTATTAAGAAAAGCTTAATTGCCTGTCATTCTCTGAGGTCTTACTTCATTCACCACCCTGAGGTTTCCTGGGTACTGTGACCTGTAGAAATTTGGCACATTTCTTTAAACAACGAATGTGATATGGTTTAGGGAGCCATCATGAGTTGAATCAGTTTCTCTGGGCAGCCCATAACCAGAAACCCGCACTGCTGAATTTCTAGGAAGCCTCACATTAGAGTCTGGCCAAGTTACATCTTGGCCTCCTGGATCATGGTTGAAGATCCTTAGATGCTCCCCTCTTAGCTAGAGATACAGATTTGCAGTAATGTCATTGTCAAGCAATTTTGATTGATAGAGTTTTTTAATGAGCATGGCACATTTTTTGTATTCTCCCCCCAAATTGGGGCTTTAGTCTATCCATTACTCCGCGGTTTTCAACAAAGTGTTTGGCAATGTCTCTCATGCACTGTTATGGTAAATATGGAGACGGAAGGCTGGGACAATAGTGAACCTGGATGAACTTACAACTTTTTAACTATTCTCAAGTGATGATATTTAATGGTTTGTTGAAAATGTGGCAAGACTTCTCTTTTGCCCAGCTCTGTTTCACATTTTTATCATTAGAAGGTCTTTAAATATTATTAAATTTGGCCTGTCTATAACTTCGTGCCCTCCATACCATCTAGCTGTTCAGTCTTGAACTTCAGAATTCAGTGCATGAGGGATGAAATTCCTCTGAGTGAAGGCCACACAGTGCCACACTAGGAGTAGAATTTCACTGTAGATGGTTGGAATAGAGAAGTGAGGTGGGAGAACCAAGTTACTGCACAGTTATCTCGTGCATTTGTTCCCCTGCCAAGAGCCTTTTGCACCTGGCACCTGTATCTTAGTCTTTAGAATACTATTATAAAAATGCCACAGATTGGGTGGCTAAAAAAAACCAAATGTTTATGTCTCACAGTTCTGGAAGACTGGGAAGCCTGGGATCAAGGGGTAGGCAGATTCAGTATCTGGTGAGAGCTGGCTTCCTGATTCATATACATGGCCATAGTCTTATGTCCTCAGGGCTTCAGAGCTCTCTGGGGTCTCTTTTATAAGGGCACTAACCCCATAATGAGGGCCCCACCCTCATAATCTCATCACTTCTCAAAGGCCTCACCTCCTAATACCATCATATTGGGGGTTAGGGTCAATATTTGATTTTTGGGGGGGGAAGGGAGAGACACAAGCATTCAGTCTCTAGCAACCATGTATGTTTGGAGGGGAGAAAAGAGGTAGGAGACGTTAACTATTGAGTGACTCTTGTTAACCCATGTATTTAGTCCCTCTGCAAAGAGTATCTGGCACCTACTCTGAGCTGGACCATGGACAGAAGAGTGAACAACACAGACCAAAGTCTGCCCTCTGTGGAGCACCCTTTCTCGTGGAATGTAGACTAATTAAATTAGTAGATTATGCGAGACTAAGTCAGCTAAAGCACTCGATGCCGAAATATGGAAACGAAAAAAAATCCTGACAAGCTCAAACGATGGGCCAAATCTGAAAAGACAGTAAATGTTGTAAACATAGCTTGAAAAACAACCTCTTAGGAGCTAAAATGTGGAGAGATTGTGGCACACTACTTATACTCAGAAGAGACTTAGAAACCTTAGTGGACAATAAACTCACTGTGAATTGATACTGACTGAGACATGATTTCCCTTGAAATTAAACCCACTTTTATATTTCAATGATTTAACCCAAAGCAAAGAGTGTAAATCCTACTTAAGGCTTCTCCTGGCTGTGCGTTCATGGGGTATCATCTGTTCTTTGGTATCACATGTGGTAACTCTAAGAAAGAAGCTGGTGCACCAGCTGCAAATATCTCCATATGAAATCTCATATGGAAGTGGAATTAAACTTATTCTATGAGGTTCAAGATTGCAGAAGTAGATAGGAGTAAGGACTAGAAGTCACAGAGCGGCCAGTTTTGCAAAGAAAATTCTAATAATTGTGTCCACAGATTGAATGAGTGGATTGTTGAACATCTGCAGAGGATGTCCAAGCAGATGTCAGAGGTACTGAGAGGGAAATTATGCGTTGGATCAGACTAAATGACTTTAAGACTCTGTCCATGTCCAGGACTCTATGAATGCACTGCAAAAGTCTGCTGCAATGAGATTCATCCTTCAGGGAAAATTGAGAGAGGACTATAAAAATTATTTTTGAACATAAACTATGTCATCTTCTGGTTTCCCTTCACAGATGGCATCTTATTTTGGATATACAGTCACAGTGTCAGATGTTAACAATGATGGGTAAGTTTATAAGAACTTCCTCACTCACCATATGTTATATTCATCCACAGAGATGTTGTATTTTTTTTTTCCTTCATGAAGTAGATCCTTCCAAACTTCCTCAACAGAACAGAGACTCTCTTGTTTTAGTTGTTTTTTGGTTCAGGAGAAGAGGACATAACCCTCCTATTTTATGTCTTTCTGGAGACTTTCAATGTCTATTTTCTTTTTTTTTTTTTTTTTTCCCAACATCTATTTTCTAAAAGGACTATTTTACTTAGCTTTATCTTTAATTTAATAAATTGAATAGTCTTTGGCCATTCAAAATTCAAAGCCATTGAAGCATTTGCTCATCTGTCTGTCGTTACCCCTTAGCATGTGATACATTCATAAAACATGTGCACATAAATAAACATTTTTTTCTCCTGACATTGCTTTAACCAACAGACTAGTAACACCCATGGAAAAGATGAAATAATATTAGTTTTTCAGATGATAGCAGTAAATCATGCTTGAGTTTGGACCAAACACCGTAACAAATTACAGTTGTGTTTAAGTCATTACTTCAAAAATAAACTGTTATTAAGCATCTCTTTAGTTCAATAAAACCACCTACTCGATAGATAAAACAAATGATTAAATAAGAAAGTCAATACGTTGAGATAGAATGATTATCCATCCAATAAATATTGTTGGAACACCTACTGTGTGCCAGGCATTATTCTCGGTGCCCAGAATATAGTGGCAAATGAGGCAAGATAGATCTCTGCTCTCAGAGAGCTCACATTTTTATAGAAATCAAGTACCTGCAGAAGTCTGACTACATCCCAGGGTCTGGATTAAGCAAGCATTTTAGATAACATCTTTGAAAGACATTAGCTATGACCTTCGTGTAGACAGAAACATACTTTATATATTATGTGGTGTCATATGAATGGAGATACATTTAGTCACTTTTGTACCTTTTGGAAAATATCTTTTTTCTTCCATTCAACATATATTTCTTGAGCATCTAGCATCTAGCATCTAGCACACTAGCACTGTTCTAGGCACTGGGACATGGCAGAGAACAAAATAGAACCCCCCCCCCCCTCATTAGGGCTATACTAGACATGGGGAAGTGGAAATTCCAGACAAAAAACAAATGAGTCAAATAAAATGCATTGAGATGATGATGAGCACTAGATAGGAAGAAAAAAACAAAAACCAGAAGCACTGTTCAATGCTAAAAAGAAATGAGCTATCAAGCATGAAAAGACAGGGAGGAATCTTAAAGGCATATTCCTGAGTGAAAGAAACTGACCTGAAAGGCTACATAACTGTATCTCTCCAACTAGATGACATCCTGGAAAAGGCAAAACTATGGAGACAGGGAAAAGATTAGTGGTTGCCAGCGGTCAGTGGGGAGAAGAGGGGTGTTCAAAGGCCAGAGACGAGAGGATTTTTAGGGCAGTGAGACAACTGTGTAAGACACTACAGTGTGGGATCCAGGTCATTACACATTTGTCCAAATCCACAGAATGTTCAGGGCACTTGGGTGGCTCAGTCGGTTAAACGTCCAGCTTGGGCTCAGGTCAGGATCTCAATGCTCGTGAGTTTGAGCCCCACGTCAGGCTCTGTGCTGAGAGCTCAGAGCCTGGAACCTGCTTTGGATTCTGTCTCTCCCTCTCTCTGTCTGCCCCTCCCCCACTTGCCTCTCTCTCTCTCAAAAATAAACATTAAAAAGTTTAAAAATCCACAGAATGTTCAGTCCAAGAGTGAGGCCAGCGTAAACTATAGGGTCTGGGTGATGATGATGGGTCCCTTAGGTTCATGGACAGTAACACACACACCACACGAGTAGGGGACACTGATGGGGGGAAGGCTGTGCGTATGGCAACAGGAATGTACAGGAACTCTGTATTTTCTGCTTCAGTTTGCTCTGAACTGAAAACTTCTCTAAAAGACAGTCTATTAGGGGAGGTAGGGAATATTGGGAAGGTGGTGATATCAAATGGGGTAGATAGGGAAGACCGTGGTGTTAAGGTTGAGGAAAGTTGAGGAAAGATCTGCAGGAGCAAGATCAAGGGGAAAGAGTGCTCAGGTTCCTGGAGGTGGGGGCTGCTAGAAGCCAAGGAACGTGAAAGAGGCTTGGAGAGGTGATGAGGGCACAGGATCAGAAAACTTTGTGAGCCACTGCATCTATAAACTGCCTTGCCCAGTGCCTCGCAGACTATGCTACAGACAGGATGAGTCTGTTTCCAAGAAGGACACATGTCGCGAGCCACTGGGGGATTCTAAGCAAGGGAATGGCCTCTGACTTTGGTTTCATCAGACACGCTCTGTCTGGTGGCTCTCGGCAGCCGTGAGGCCTTCTGGGGGTCCACTGCCCTAAGCCAGGTGGGGCAGGACAGTGCCTTGGGCCAGAGCAATAGCTGTGGCAGGAAGTAAAAGGGTTGCACTCTGGATGTATTCTGAAAGTATATTTGAATGCCAATCTTACTTTACCCATCAGCCGAGCTGTGAAGAGAAAGTAACAATCAGGACCGCCATTCATAATTTCCAACCTCAGTGGACTGGACTTATCAGAGTGATTTAGGGGGGGAAAAAAAAAAAAGGAGAGGTGGGACTGAAAAAGAACGTGAGTCCACGACATGGTGTGATGTCCCAAATAAGGAAGCCCACGCTTTAGTCAAAACAAAACAAAAC